TTTTTTTTTTGTCTTTTCAATTTATTTATTGTTCACTGTGGATAAAATCTCGCCGCAAGGATTAAAAATATGAAAAATAAAATAAAATAAATAAAAACTCTTCTCCACGAACGTTAGAGGGTGTTGTTTTCAAGCCAATCCTCTATCGGAGCGGAAGGAGATGGCGGATTTATGATGTCATTTCCGACAAGTGATTTATTTTCTCTCCCTTTGTGAACTACTTTAGCTTTTTTACGTTAGAAGAACTGACTTTGGTGTTTGCATTCCTGTAGCGGTAAAACGAGGCAAGTACTTCCATCACTGGTGAGCTTTTTTCACCCCACTTTCCGCTCTCGAACACTGTCTTGCCAAAGTGCTTCGCTACATTGTAACGCTGTGAGTGTGTGGTAGCTAGGCGTATCCACAATAAAGTAAATATATAAAGCAAGCATGAAATGCGTTTATGTTTTAGTCCGTTTGAGTACAGTGGAGCAGAGTGTCTGTTTTATTCACATTTTTAAGAGAGTCTGTTTAAAAAGTGGCCGCTATGAGGCAGAGTAACATCTCAACACATAATCTCTCTCTCTCTTTTTTTTTAATGCACCCTGTCGTCACTTAACGGTTTACATGTCTTTCTTCTACCGTTGCTCACGTTAATTTCACAGGCAGGTCACCGGAGGACGCGTAACAGAGCAGGGTCATCATGTCTGCAGAACTGGACTTGTCCACTCCAGAGATCCCTGAGCCTACCCTGCTAGAAAGCATACTGCGCTATGGGTTGTTTCTCGGTGCTATCTTTCAGCTTATTTGCATCCTGGCTGTCATCTTCCCTTCATCCAAGGGCCACGAACAGGTGGGTCTTATAGAGAGGTGTGCTTGCCCATCCTGAGGGGTGTACTGTGAAGGAAGTTCTGCATAGTCAGGCTTTCTTTGTGTTATCTGAGTATCACTAGAGCAGTTATCCACCGGCTTTGGTAACTGTGGTTTTCTGTTGACATGAAAGCCCAACATTTCTGAAATCGTGATCATCAAGCACTCTCTGTGGTCAAAATAAATGTATGCTTCATCTCCAGTTATGTTTATTTTACTGCTCTGTGTGATTTTGTTGTTACAGTTTATTTCAGCTGCACAATCCAGCTGTGAGGCTTTTGGTGCAAGTAAATTCTACGCACAGCTAAGACTCTCCTCCAACTTAATAAAAGGGACAGTGAATTCATTTCAGTTTGTCGCCAAAGTGAAAGTAAAATTACTGACTGAGTAGGTAGTTTTAGTGATGAATAGCCAACAAAAGGAACAAATTGATTTTCTAATCTGTGTTTTAGTAGCTGCAGTTCCTTCAGTGTAAAAGCAGTAGGACCAAATATTTAAAAAAAATTCATACACTGTATACATGCAAATTCTCATGACAATGGTTTATAACAAGCTTAAAAGAGAGCCATCTTCATCACACTGAACACTCTGACATTAAATTTAACAGAGCTCGGTAACCCATTGATCTCTGCATACTCCTCCCCTCTGGTTTAGCTTGGGGTAAGGTTGGTTTCATTGAGCATCACAGGAAGAATGTGAAAAAGTCTGGGCTCAGGTGAAACAGAGAAGGATGCACAAATCAATAGAACTGAAGCACAATGCAGACAGTTGAGTCAAATTGTCACTGTACACCATATGCCCATCCTGATGTTTTTCTTCTCTTGCATGAGCACCCAACAACTGTTATTCTCGGTTGTTACACATGATGTTATTTTTTTTCTTCATTCTTAGAATGACAGTATGAGTTTGAGGGGGTAAAAATTGTAGGTGTATTAGAAATACATTAGGAAATGTCTACAATTGCATGCGCATTTGTTACATCACAGTTAACTTATTCTATTCCCATTTTTAAGGAGATATTAATGTGTAATCATCAACCTAATTTACACTTTTTAGGCTATTTTACTCTGCTTTAGAGTGATATATGGTATAGAGGCTGTGCTGTAACACCACACAGATCCGTCATATGTCTTTTGTTATGTCACAGAAGAGTTTAATTGATTACATTATGGTTTCCAATGAGTTAAACACATTAACGTAGTTATACTATGGAACAGCTAATGTTAACATTAGAATACTGAAAGTAAAATAATTAAAATTTTATTATATTTTGCCTGTCACATTTAGAAGTTGATCTAAAAAGAAATGCAGAGAAACCGGGCACCACTTAGCAAGTGTAGTGCTGAGTCTCTTGTTTTAGAAAGTCTGTGAAGACGGGGCTACTTTCACAATCTCCATAATAACAACTGTCAGGAGAGATTATTTATAGACAAAAGCAATTAAATCCACTGTCAAATTACTCTATTTTCAGGCATCATTATCAGATGCACTGATTACTCTCCACAGTATGTCGCCATTTCATCTTTTTTACAGCAGCCTGCTGTCGGTCCTACCCACCAGAACAATGGGAAAGATTACACTCACAGAAACTAGGCTGGCAGAAAATAAAAAGTGCTGAAAAATGTCAGTTTCTTTTGTCTGCTGTGTACAGTATTTTCTGGGAATTTCATTCAACTGTCCATTAAACTGCAATAGTTTAATGTAGAGATGGAAAACTGCAAACTGTATAAACAGCATTGAAAATGTATAATACTTACCCCATGTGGATAAGAAGTCAAATTAAACGCACTCTTTATGACAAGTTTAACATGGGGGAAAAATGATGAATAAAATGACATTAGCATTATATTTACTAGTTATACATGAATCAACTGGCTGTCAGTATGTAAAGTGACCTAAATAGCCTCTAACTTGTGAGCTACATCCTTTTTTCAGCTGCTCCAGGGTTCGGCACTCTGGTGATCTGCCTCCATCTCTTCTATTCTGACCACTGGCCACTGCACTGTACAATGTCCATTGCTTTTACGTCTATGCAGTATGTTGTTGTGGATATTTGCATTATTTTATTAAAGTTAGGGTTGTGAAATGCTGGACTTTTATCACTATATTTCCATTTTTAAGTGAGTGCTAAGGACAAATGAAAAGACTGTTCCTTTGGAGGTTGTTCAGGGTGCTCTGTGTTTGCTCTGCAGGAGGAAGCCGAGTCCACTGACGTAAAGGCTGCTGAACAGATAAAGAAACCTAAAGGACCAACACCTCAGCCTCGACAGAAACCAAAGAAAGAGAGCAAAAAGAAGCGATAAATATCTGTGTGCATGTCTGTGCGCGCGCGCGTGTGTGTATTACCTTGAGAATGTGTGTTGGGTCATTGCCAAAGTTATAAGAATTTCGTTATTACAAGTGTAAGCACTAATTTACAACAATTTTAAAAAAAATTAAAGAGGTGTGTTGAATTTGAGGCACAAGAAAAGGACCAACTACATCCTGTTCAACACATTACAAAAACAGCTCATTATCATGGTGCTTACCAACAGTTTATTTAGTTACACACCGTATTTCATTGGTTGTGTTTGTTATACATTTTCTTTTGTAACAGTTGAATATCATTGGTTGAATTGTGTGTTAATAACAAGGCAGAAATAAATGTGTTCTGCAGCCATTCACCTTAGCAGTTTACAGTAATTGCCAAACCTCAGTTTCATGTAAAGAAATGAGAAGGACATCATGACCCAGCCTTCTGTATGACAAAACACTTACCTTATAAAACTGTGGTTTGGTGTAGTAAATCATATTGCCATAGATGATACACCAAAGTCTCACATTGTCCAAAAGTACTAGGTTGTGTTTTCACTCTAAATTTGTAATACAACGACTGTATGTTTAAATGTATTCAAAATTCCGAGATAAACAGTGATCAGATTTTTGCTAATCGTTGATGCCCTCAGAAAGCCATTTGGTCGGGATGTTTATTACCTCGTTTAGATCCATTTAGCATTTTATTAAAGCGGTAGTATTGCACATATTTTACATGAACTGTCTTGTATAAAGTCTTGATTTTAATCCAAGTATTCCAGACAAATTCTGGCCATCTTGATGTGCATCTGGGCAGTTATTTTTTAAATTAATTTTCATTTCAAAGGTTACTGGGACATAAGAATTGCACGTATAGAGTTACCAGTGAAATTAAAAAGCTTTTGGGAATTCTACTTCCAATATCAGCTATTGCAGAGTTCCGAGGGTTCTATGAGCGACATGGGCCTACATTATAGTGCCTCTGCTTGAATATATCTTCAAGGTAGTTGACTGTGTCATTGAAAAAAGTACTGGGATTGTACGCTTTACTTCTCCTTGAAGTAGTTTCAGTTCTCCGCTTCAACTACTGGAAACTTGATGCGGGAGTGTGGGAGAGGATATCAGCTGATGGATGATAAACACCGCTAAACGCCGACCGGGTTCCGGTATCACTGCACCAGCAAAAACTTACCATTAGGGAAGTGTGTGTCGCTTAGCAACCAATTTTCCCAGTCGGCTAAATGGAGCTTTTCAGCAAACGACGGACGTAAACATACAGGGCACGCGCGTAGTGTCTTATTACCTTTATTATAAGAATGTTTTCAGTCGTGACTAATAAAAAGATATTAGGAAAACCCAAACGGGGGGGGGTATTTCTGTCAACGCCGCGGCGAATTTAACAGCCGGCGTCGAGTTACGCAAGGTGACGTGGTGAATGCTCCCGACGTTACTGCGTAAAATCCAGCCTCCCCATATTTGCGCTCTCGTGTTTCGTTGGTGATGCATTATCTAGTGCCTTCCCCCCCACGAGGCATGTCTTTTCCACACTACACCACTCCTGCTTCGTCGCACCAATTTACCGCGCCGCCGACCCTTCCCAGCTGAACAGGTTTGCCCGGCCCACCGCAGCCGCTCGGCAGCTGTGCCCCCAACTCCTGAAAGCAGTCCCCGTCATGACCTCCTCCTCCTCCTCCTGTGATTTTGCCGAAATTCGCTAAATGGGATTCGTGGCTGGCCCGGGGTTTCCACAGCAACTGGCCATCCGATTCCATTATTTTTCTAATGAGGACAGCCGTTCGGATCTAACACGGTTCCTCGCTGCGCGTCTCTGATTTTTGGGCTAAATCTCAAGACGCGTCAAAGGTAAGTTAATTGGAGCTCGTAGCAGTTTAGTGCGATAATGCAGATTTATTTCGGCATTCAATGTCGGCTTTTCTCTTTTTTTTTTCTTAAAAAAAATGTGTGCTGCGCATTTTTCTCTCACGGAGGTTTCACACAGGGATTGATAAGCTACCCCCCTCTTCACTGACTTGTATTTTCATTGTTGCACAGGCCATTCACTCGCACATTTGGCCAGTGCCACTCAGTCTGTGCCAGGGCTAGGTTGTTGACGATTTACTACGCCCCGCAAAATGCAAAGCGTTTGTGCAAATCTCTCATTTTTGTCTTGGCGATCATCACGAACACTCGGGAAGACGCAGCAAATCGGCTGCGCACAGAAAATAAAGCCAACAATCCATCGAAATTCAAAATGGAGCTGTAGCAGCACCTGTTTTGGTTCATCAGGCCGCATATGCGCTGTATGTGAGCCAAAGCCTACGACACTCACTGGAGCATTGTCCCTTTTTCATCATTATTATTATTGTTGTCCCGGTTCCCATTCACAAATCACTGTTTACGAGCCTTGTGGGCATCTGTTTAGCAAACACGAACAGTGAACGTTTTTGATTTCATTTTACGATTCTTTCTAATAGCAAAGACATTATCATTTTTGACAGCTGCTGATCCTGTAGGCAGCTACTACCCCACCCCGTGTTTCTTTGAAAGCAGCTTTGCTCACAACAACTGGCGTTTAATCCCGTGGAAATAGAGTTTTTAATTATGTGGTTAATCTATTTAGAGTTGCTTTGGGGGCTCTGGACGAGCTCCAGCTTATTTCCTTACGGCGGGGGATTCAGGTTTTTGGCTTGAATCATGGGAATGCTCAGTATTGGATGTTATCACTGGATGAAGATGCAAGCATTATGTTAGCAAATTATGAAAGAACATTTAAATACCTTGTTGAATTCTTACAAGTGCATTTCAAGCAAAAAGAGTGCAGGAAGTGGGTGAAAATGCATCATAATCCCCTCATGTGGCTGTGAAAGATTGAAATTTGATATAGGCCTGCAAAAATATTTTTTTTAATGATGTAGGTCTACTTTTTTACAAGTTGCAACAACCCTAGATATCGTCTTAATACCATTTGTTTTGTCCAGTCAACCATCCAAAACATCAATTTACTCTCATAACAAAGAAAACCAGAAATAAATGACAGAAGTGAAAGCTTCTTTAATGTTCAGTTGTTCATTAAAACTGATTAACTGACTGCCAGTTAACAATCAGACAGGCTGTTGTGAAACAGTATGTGTGTAAAATGACTTTTTCAAGAGAACAGATTCAAAAAGCAGACCCTGACTTTATTTTAAAATCCTGTAAATAATAAAAAGGCTGTGTGTAAATGACCTAGAATGACACAGCGTCATTAATAAGATATATAAATTTGTAGACTGAACGACTGATGTCCTGTAAAATTAATCCGGCTGCAGCAGCTGTTCCTTTTAGTCCGGATCGCTCGCTGCCAGAGCCACAAGTTAAAGATGGGCGGAAGTGGGTTTTATCAGCTGAGTGCCACAGTGCCCCTCTCCTCTCCACTTATCTTCCTCCACTGCTTTTTTTTTTTTTTTTTTTCCTCGCCTTTGCTGAGTGTGTTGGCTTCTAAGGAAGAGGGAAGATGAATTGAGACAACTAGACAGAGACTTTCACTTTCCAAAGTCTGTGGGATTTAATCATAAAAAGAAATGGAGGGAAAAAAACACAGAAAATCTGATTTGGGAAGTTACAGGACTAAAATTGGAGAAGGCTCGATAGTTATGCGACTGCATTGTCTTTTTCTCTCTCTGACCTTTGCTATATATAGATGATCTGTACGTTACGCATGTATCTGTGGACTGCATTGTTCATCATGCAACATCTATATGGGAATAAGACAGCGACACTAATGTGCACATTTCCTCTCGTTTTAATCTTGAGGAACCATCATTACTACGCCCCCACCACCACCACCCCCTCGCCTCCCCTCCTCTCCCCTCCCAAGGGCAAACCGTAATTTTCCCATTCAGCTGAAACATTGGCTGGAGCTGTCTTTCCTCTCTGCAGCACAGTGGCAACTGTTACCGTCTGTTGTGACTCAGTGAGGTTTGTCGTGGCCAAATGTGCTTATGTGCCTGACCAGACATGTTGAGCTTGTGAGCTCAGCCTTAGATGAAGGATTACAAAGGTTAATATGGAACTCCAAACGTTTTTTGGTTGGTTTTTTTTTTTGGCAACCTATGCAAAATAAGAATGACAAAAATGAGAATGATTGCACTAAAACACTCCTCAACTGTAAGTAGTGCTTTAAAGCAGTCATTTTGTCAGAAATGGGTCCTTTGCATTAGGATGGGTCCTTTGCATTATGGCTAATTATGCTATTTAACATTTAGGGACTTGATTGTGTCTACTGAAGAGATGGGTAAAGATGCTGTACACCAGAGAATATTGTTATTGGATGATCAAAGATTTAATGGTTATGTTACTATTTCAGTTTAAGTTGATGTAACAGACAACGTCTGCAGTTTTTATTCTGTGCAAGAAAGCATTAAGATTACTTGAAGCTCATCTACAGCTTCTGCATTATTATTCTGGTGAAGTGGATATCTTCTAAATTTTGTCATTGTTTTCTCAAACAATGGTTCCTTGTTGAGATGCGGGCAAAGGGTGGTAAAAAAAAAAGGGGGGGGGGCTACAATGATTGTAAAGGCTGCATAATTAGGGATTCAGCTTGAAAATAATTGCAGAAAAACGGCACAGAAGTGTGCTTTGTTGAGTGTGTGTAGATTAAGATATCCATGAGACAATGAATTACAATGCAGAATTTCAGTAGGACTAACAGATTAACAAGTTTAAAGGTTTAACAGATGGATGCTACCTGGAGACAAACAAAAGTGGTGTATTTTCTCATTAAAAGCTAATCCACAGCAGCAATGTCAATGGCAATCTACCCCAACAGCGTTGAGGAAGCAAAGCTGCAACACAGCTGACTGCAGCAAATGTCAGCTCTGTAGGGATGAGGTTGAAGTTGGGATTCCACCAAGTCATTCTTTGGGGGAAAACAGATGTTTTTCCCTTACAAAAATATCGAAGAGCTGAACATATTTACTGATAAAGGCCAGCTTTGACCTGCTGTGCACACGAGGAAATGTCAGGTATGACTGGCATTGTGGATAACTGTGCACTTTGACCCCCTTGTCACTTACACTGGAATCAGTATGGACAGGGTGCAGCACAAAGTCTTTCAGTTTGCACAGAATCATTCAGTAGTCTTTCAAGATGGATATGAAAATGATAAAAAGTCATATTGGGGCACATGTAAATTGAAACAAATATTGGCCTGATGCGATGCAGTTGAAGAGCATGAAAGGTGTTAGGACTTGTCTACTTTATATCCTGCATTCCATTTAGGCAGCTGGCTATTATTCCTTTACTTTTTTCTGCTTTCTCCACAGCTTTTGCTCCCTGTTGATGAGCAGAAAGTTTAGATTCATAGGGTATCAAATCCTTAGAATCACTCTCCATACAAGGCAAATCAAGAACCGGTTAATTCCGTTTAACTTTATTTATATAGTCTCCATTGAGAACAACACGTATCTCAGTGGACTTTACAGTGAGAGCTAAAGAGGTTATATATGGCCTATATATAATATAGAGAAATCCAACAATCCAGAGCTTACCTTACAGCATGTCTTTACTCTATCTCTTGACATTTAAACCACATATTATGTAACAAATGTGGAACCTTTTTAAAAAAAAAAAAAATACTGAAAGAGTGCCACAAAAATCCCAGCTGCTTACCTCAGCTTTAAGAAGTTTGCAAATTTGAGAAGACACTATCCATTCATGCTTGAAGCCAACTTTCTTTAATAATTAAAGAAAAGTTTTTTTAATATTATTATTATGATTATTTGGCGCAAAGCAACATGAGTTTCTGTTTGAAAGAGATTCTGTTTTGCCTTCTTGCTAGATTGACCACTTTTCTTCTGATTTGGTCATGACCCATAACCCACAGATCAGGTTTGCACGTCTTCACTTCTGTGCCAATCTGCTGAGCCTGTCATGAACTTGTCTAAAAATGTAATTAACACCAGTTGTGATGGGGCCAGGAGCATAAGGAGAGGTACACCCCGGACGGGTCACCAATCTGTTGCAGGGTTAACAGAGAGACCAGAAACCATTCATACTCACACCTAGATTCATCAGTTAATCAAACTCCATGCATGTCTCCATAGAGAACTCACATGGAAACAGGAAGAACATGCAGAGTCCACACAGAAAGACCCAGGATCTTCTTTCTGTTGACAGTGTTAACCACAGAAACCAAGATTCATGACAAAAACGTTCACAATATCATGCTGCACTTCCACCTTCCTGTACTGGCAAGTTTAATGCGATGCTTAAAGCTCAGTCAGATAATGACTGAATTATATCAGAATATTGGAGGGTATTCCTGTGGTATTTATTTTTTTTATTGTTTTTGTTGTTCATCTCATCAAAGAGAAAAACTGAAGTATGAACTGAATGTTTGGTCCAAAAGTAGAGGTATATAGAGTAAACCTTGATAACTGTTACACTCCTGTCTGTGAAGTAGGTCACATCAACTGATCCACTACAAGATATTATCTTCCATGAGACAAAGTGCAATATGTAATGGTCTGTAATTGTATCTGGCGTCCTCATAAACACTGGGGTCAGTAATCTGCTTGTGTAGCATCAGCCATTTCCTTGTTTTTTTCCATTGATCTGCAAGTTGGAAAATAGTCCAAGAAATTTTCAGTCTGCATCTCTAGTCCTGGAAAACCATGAAAATGGAGCTCTCCTGCTCCATCTTCCTCCCTCTATTCCTTCCTCCCACCCTGCCCTCCTGCTGCTCAGGTGCCTGTTCTTGTTGCAGTCGAGGTGTGTAGTGCAGTCTGCTTCATCTAAAACTGCCAACTCAACTTCACCTCATCTCTCACATATTTTCCAGATCTTACTTACTCTTTTCTTTTGCAAGACTCTACAATGTCTAATTCCATTCTCACCAATCCATAGTCTTTCATTTTATACCCCTATGCTAATGTGTTACCACTTGATATTAGGCCGTTGCAACACCATATTAGGAAAAGGCACAAGGCTCTGCTACAGAGCTACTTCTGTTGTTTACACAAACACGCCGGCTTTGAGGCTTCCGAGGGCGCTGTGGTTTGTACGCTGCTCTGCGAAGTACTAAACTAAGTGCTGGACACTGCAGCTCACATTAAACCTGTGTGTGAGAATCATTACTTCTCCTCATCAGTCTGAGATTGATCCTAATGATTAGTACGTCTTCCAAATCCATTTGAGGCTATCAAAGCCAGAATGAGCGAATCAGAGTTGGCTTGAACTCCTCTGCTGAGTGCTTACCCTGCTGAATTTACCACCAGGGAGATATCTGTGCAGTCTCCAAATTCACTGTGGTGCATATACTAATAAAGTTGAAGTGGTGAAATGTAAATTTGGCATGTGTGACACACATGGGTACATGTCATATGGCATTACTGATTTCCTTGAGATCAAAATGTCTTTCCTCTGTGGAATCAGCAATAGACCACAATAACGGGTAACGAGTGAGGGACAAGAAAGGTGTACTATGATAGACGGCAGAGTGGATCCGTGCTTTCAAGATGACAAATTCTGACCCTACCAGCCGATTGTCACGGCAGAAATGGAGGCTCATCAGACCGTTTTTGGAATTTTTGCGAGCCTGTGCGAATTGTAGCCTCAGCTTTCTGCTCTTAACTGAAAGGTGGTGCTTGCAGTGTGGTCTTCTGCTGCTATAGCCCATCTGCTTCAAGATTTGACGTCTTGTGGCTTCAGAGAGGTTCTTCCAAATACCTTTGTAACGAGTCATTATTTGAGTTACTGTTGCCTACCAATTAGCTCAAAGCAGCCGGGCCATTATCCACTGGCATTTGACATCAACTAAGCACTTTCACCCAGAGAATTTCCACTCACTGCATAGTTTCTCTCTTTCAGACCGTTAACCATACTGTGCCATACCAACCGTAGAGATGGCTGTATGAGGAAAATCTCAGTAGATTAGCAGTTTCTGAAATGCTCAGATCAGTCCATGTGACACAAACAGCCATGCTATTTTCCTTTCTGATGATCAGTTTGAACACGTTGTCTTGACCATGCCTACATGGCTAAATGCATAATGAGTTGCTAGCATGTGACTGGCTGATATTTGCGTTGATGAACAGGTGTACATAACAAAATGGATGTTATGAAGTTTTCATAAATTTCCAGTCACACAAGTGTAGTTTGACTAGGGGCAGCTGTGTCTAAGGAGGCAGAACGGGTCATTCACCAGTTGGGAAGTTGATGGCTCAATCCTCTAGGGCAGGGGTGCCCAATCCCGGTCCTCGAGAGCTACCGTCCTGCAGCTTTTAGATGCATCCTTGTTCCCACACACCCGAATCAAATGAATGGCTTGTTATCAGGCCTTTGCCAAACATGATGGCATGCTGAAGAGGTAATCAAACCATTTGATTCAGCTGTGTTGGAGTAGGGATGCATCTAAAAGCTGCAGGATAGTAGCTCTCGAGGACTGGGATTGGGCAGCCCTGTTCTAGGGAATCCCCTAGTAGCATATCGAAGTAACAGAGGACAAAATGAAAAGTTTCCCCGTGTGTGTCTATAAAAATGCTTAGGCATAGAATAAAAAGTGTGAATGAGGTGTGTAGAAAGCATTCCTTGCCATTTGTGTCGCATTTTAAAGGATGATATTTTGAGGTTTTTGTGACTCATTACTAAATTATTTTGTTTTCCAACCAAAGTATGTTTAACCAAGGTAGGACCAAATGTAAAGTTAATTGGATGCTTTAATCAATATTTCTTTTTTAAGAACTAATACTTTTAAAGCAGTTTTAAGTAATTCTGCAGTTGCTGATACAGATTTCGATTCCTTCACTTCTCTTGTACCTTGACTGACTGTGCTGTGGATCTTTTGCACAAGTGACTCAACTATTACCTGCAAGGACTGATTAGTGGTAAGGGTCCACTTTACATGTATCTTATCTTTACCTTTTTTTTTCTTCTTTTTTTCCATTGAGGCGGATGTTGATCATTAGAGGCGGTCAGTGCAACTGGCCATAATGTTGATTGCCAATGTCTAAACTAGCTCTTTAAATTGTTTAACACAATTCCCACTTCCCTGTCCATCTTTGTCTGAAGCCCTATGAGCTTGTCTCAGTATGACTCAGTGTTGCACCATGGGATACATTAACCCCTCCACTGCACCAAATTACATCCTGGCAGGGGCTGAAGCGAAGCTTGCACGACTGCGCTCGTGTTTGAAATCACTCGTGTACGTTCACACACGCATTGTAGCTTACACGCCAACACAGCTTCACAGTGGGAGCCTTGGATGTCTTTGAGGATTCCCGTACCTGTGTAATTAAGTTATAGTCACACATCACACTTAAAACACCCACTAAGCCTCAGCTGTCTGCGTTGCAGTATACAACAACCACCTACGCGTTCTTTTTACAGCCGCTGCCGGTTCCTTCCTCTTTCCCTCTTAATAACACTCTGTCCTGTCTGTCAGACTAACACAAGTGTGTTGGAAACATTCATAAGGATACACGGGTTGCTGGAAAAAGGATGTGAGACACAACTGTGTTTGGGTGTTAGTGTGCGACTGAGCTTAGTTTCCCAGAGACCAAGGAACAGCTGCTAATGCACAGAAACGCACACACTCGGTCTCGGTTCCAAAGGAACAAGACTGTTTCATGTGTGTGTGACTGTCTCTGTTTCAGCTGGCTTGAAATAGTCGGTCTCGCAGTGACTCACGCCGCTATGCCTGGAGGGGAGGATTGGTCTTGGTGTGTGAACAAGGCACTCTAACTTTCTGTGGGTGCACTTGACTGTCTGAGCATGTTTGTCTTTGTCTGCACTCGGGATGAAGGCGCACTCTTGACTTGTTGCATTTATTGGGCTGTAATAAATGTATTTGACATGAGGATGTGAAGGAAAAGCAGCAGTATAATTACCTGTTGGAGATGAAACTGTTTGTGTCCTTGTCAACTCAGCAGCATTAACACACGGCTTCAGTACGGCCCACAGCTCCTTTGTTTGAAGCTTTGTTTTCCACGTAAATGCTTATTGATTCAAAACAGATTGAATCAGACGGGAACGACCTTGAATCTATGCGTGTTTTTATGTGCCCTCTTCGTGGAGTATTTGCATGCTAAACGGTTTTAACTGAACCTGGAGCAGCTCCAAGGATACTCAACAGCAGACCGGGAGAGCTAAAATGAATGCGATGCTAGAAGCAAGAGGAGTTTTTCTTTTAGGAGAGTGAATGGCTAGAAACTGAAATGGGGTCGCTTCCTTTTCCTGAGTGAACTTCATTTTTCTTTTAATAGTCATCTTTAAAATATACATTTGTACAGTCACACTGAAATGGTCAGATTTAGTAAACAATTAAGAAAATGAACACTGTATTTAAAAATAACACTGTATTAAATGTCTACTGAAATGGCATCAATAATTAAGGGTTAAAGCATTAGGATGCTTGTGGGTCAAACTGCATTTAAATATTAATAAGAATATCCTCATTCATATGCCTGCCTCTGAGTCAAATTTTGCTGCTAGGACTGGCAGATATGATGGCAGAGATGTTGGATGAAATTGCAAATGCAAAAAAAAAATACTAAATAAACACTTACTGAATTGGGATACTGTAGGGTTTTTATTTATTTATTTTTTTAGCAGTGTACATGGTCTACAGTATACAGTGATGGCATGTATTTGACTTTTATTGATTAACAGAAGCAGTAGCAAAGCCACTTCGGACCTTAAAGTGCTGCTTACTCATCATTGGCTCTGGTCCCAGGTCTGCACATGGGGGCGGGCAAGAGCAAGCCCAAGGAGCCGGGCCAGCGCTCCATGAGCCTGGATGGTACCATAGGCACAGGCTCCGACAGTGGGCACTTCCACCACCTGGGACCCGCCCAGCAGACCCAAACACCCAACAGGAGCCCTGCCGTCGGAACAGGCAGGCGGGGGCATCAAGGGCAGCACCAGCACGCCCCAACAAATACTCCCGAGATGGCTCTCTTCGGAGGAGTGGACCACACGGGAACTGTCACATCACCTCATAGAGGACCTCTGTCAGGTAGGAAAAACATTATGATAATGGTGATAAAGTTTATTCATGTAGCGCCTCTTAACAACAAGCCATGAAAAGACAAGATTTTAAAAAAAAAGTCACCTTTTTTTGATTGTATAAACATATAAAACAGAGTAGAATTAGAAAGATGACTCTGGAAAGTGTAAAGTAAAACTACTGTGAAGCTGTAGTCCCACATTTAAATAAAGTAAATGCAGCAGGAAACAGAAACACATCGTACCCTGATATGAAAGAACTGAGTGGGAACAAACAGTAACCTCCTGTATAATTAGTGAGCTTTTAGAAGTGCTTTTAAAGGCCGATTTTGTTGTTTCTCTTGGTTCCAGTCTTTATGCCAACACGAGCTAACTGCCTGTGTGAATGTGGTCGTGAAACGGATTCAATAAATCTGACGAGAACTTTGATGTCTCTATGTCAGCCTACGGACTTGCTTTCAGTTTGAGATCACAAAAGTCCCAAAGTGGATGGGGAAGAAAAAAAAGAAGCAAAATCTGATTCATAATGAGTCACATTTACACAGAAAAATATTTAAAAGCATCTTTTTTTTTCTCACTATCTAAGAGCCAGACTTAAAAACTTCTTTTCGACTTTGAAGCACCACATGTCACGCTGTCCATATTTTATTTACTGGATATATTTAAACTGTAATGTGCCTAAACCAGCCAGATGGCTGGGTTAATGTTGCTCCATCCAGAGAGCAAAGGCCTGCTGGTATATGAAGAACAGTTCTGCTGGTTGCAACCTACTGCTGCGCACCTAATGAGCCAATCAATGATCGGCTGAAGAATTCCCCAGTTTAGGTCTCAGGTTCATTAAATAAAGCTACATAGAACCCCATTAATATCATACCTTTGTCCTTCAAGGGCGGTCAGACAGATGCTGTCTGAATGTCAATATTTTTCATTAGATACATTTTCAGAGCAGCAGTAGAATACCTTAACATCCAACCCTGAAAAGCTGAAAATTCAAGGGCTAGGTCACAGTGCTAAAAATCACACACATTATTCATTATATATTATTATTATTATTATTATTATTAGAATAATATTTTTATTATTCCACTGGTTTTTAACTGATGATTTTCTTCTTCAAATTTAATTGAAAAACTGACTGGCAACAGCCTGAGAGGGTTTGGGCTTGAGACAAGATGAGGGAATCTTTGCTAAATTAAATGAAGAACAGCGGTGTGCTTTTAAGTTGACCTTGTTTTTAGATCCCTGGGAAACCAAATTGTACCTAAACAAATAAATTTCCCAGCCCTGTTAAACCAGTGTCATTGATCTTAAGTGGAAATACCCTTTTGTGTGCTAAATGTCTTTATTTCAGTGTCTGTATTGTTCCCCAAATGAACGTTTCTGTTTCTCCGTGGTCTCTTTCAGGAGGTGTCACTACATTTGTGGCTTTGTATGATTATGAGTCACGAACAGCATCTGATCTGACCTTTAGGAAAGGGGACCGGCTGCAGATTGTCAACAACACGTAAGAATCAAGAGTCATCCCACTGTAACTCTAGTAGTGATGCCACACAGTCACAGAGATGTGAATGAACAGATTTCTTGGTGCACACGTGATCTGTGACGCGCACATATGTGGACATGAATGAACACGCAGTGATAGTCAGATCTGGTAACTGTCGATCCTTCCCATCTGTTTACTAAAAGTGAGCAGAACAGCTCTGCGCTAATGCATTCTGTTCCTCATGGGCAACTGTGATCATCATAATCTTTTAAGAGACTTCAGAGGGAGCATTTTGTACCGAGATATAGATAGAAACAGGACAAAACAAAACAGGTTCAAGTGAAATTAGGTTGTTTTTTTTTGGGGGGGGGGGGGGGAATTTTGCAAGTTTTTTCAAGCTGCTGTTTCTAAGCTAAACATCTGCAACATAACTCTCTTGCAGGTGTTTACAATCACAACAATTTTTTGTTTTCCTATGAGCTCTTTCTATAACTTCCTACTATAAGTCTGCTCTGCTGGTATTTATTGAGAGCCTGGCACTACATAATTGGGCTGAAAAGTAGAATAAATACATAATGAAGCATTACAAAGCAGAGCTTAGTAGTTAGATGAGTTAAGCCAGGCTGTATTTCTAAGGCCTAAAGTGGACATTTATGGAAGATAAATGAAATATATTCATACTCTCCTATAGCATTAGAATCCCACATTGAAATGGAAAATCAAAGTTAAATCAGCCCCACTGTGTAATCCCAGAGCTTATGCAGCTCGTCTGCTATCTGTCTGTGCCGTGCTGCGTGCCTTGCCGTGTCTCCTTGCTGCATTTTGATGTGTCTGCTGTGTCTGTTATCTCTCCCTCTCTTTCTTTCTCATGCTTCATGGTTTCTCCTAGGAAAAAGTACAGCTTCAGGTCAGTAATATTTAATGCAATAAAAAAAAAAAACCCTCATGCAACCTTTTCTTCACCGTCCCTGCGATCCTTGCATTTGCTTCATCATGAAGTGGTAAATAGAGATGGACTAATTCTATATCTCCTGTATAAAACATATTGCATGTTTCTACATAGAGCTAAAGTTGAATCTAAGATGGGACAAGTGGAATAAAAGGTTGCCTGCATTTATTTTCCATCTTACCAATTTTTTTTTTTCTTAACTCCATCCTATCAACTTTGCGGGATGAGGTTTTTTAAGTTTCACTTTTGCAGTGTAAATGGCACTATGGTTTTCAGTCAAATGATGTGGAAGTTTAACTGGATGGATCATATCAGAGGGCACTGTTTCAAAGTTACTGGAATATTTCAGGGATAAATCCAGTAATGTTCAGTTTTTTCTCATTGGCAACAAATCCCATAAGTCCAAAGCCATTGATAAATGAATGCACGGTCTTTTCTACAAGCTAAAGCTCAAACTGGTCCCCAATACATGTGCAGTTTCCCTCAGTTTACATCAATAAATCAAATTTTTTTTAGCCTCTTATATTCTTGGGTCTTTGAGCAAAAGACAAGGTAGAAGTTGTTCCTCATCAATGAAATATGGTGCTGATTTTGAATAAACTTTAAATATCTCTAATTGCCTTGTTCAGTTTTGTTCGTGATTGACTCTCACTCTCTCTTCATCTCTCTGTCTCTCTCTCTTTCCCTCACAGAGAAGGGGATTGGTGGCTCGCTCGCTCCCTGACAACTGGAGAGAGCGGTTATATCCCCAGCAACTATGTGGCTCCATCCGACTCCATCCAAGCAGAAGAGTACATTATCCACTCTTTGTTCTCCTCATGCGATTTACCCTGCAGTTTATTTACATCTAAAGCTGGTTTTCAGTGCAGAACCTGCATGTAGTTGTGCTCTGCACGCATTTTAATGATCCATGCATGATAAGGCCATGTTTACAAATAAAGAGTACTGAGATGCTGTTCATACATATAATCCAAACGTAGCTCTGCATTCCTGCTCCAGCTGCTCAGTAGTAGCTCGTCACTGATCTCACTCTCTGTGGCCCACTTTGGCAGGTGGTATTTTGGGAAGATCACTCGACGTGACTCGGAGAGGCTCCTTCTCAACCCTCAGAACAGACGAGGAACTTTCTTGGTGAGGGAGAGCGAGACTACTAAAGGTGAGAGAGCAGACATTTGCATCACTTCAGAGACTACAGTCATTATCATGAACCATTATCAAGAACAATTAGCTCTTCTGCCTGTCTGAAGTCGCGTAATGATGCATTAAATCAGCCTGAGTGCTTTTTTTTTTTCTTTTTTCTCACATTAAAACTATCTAGCAGCAGTGTTCGACCTGCACAAAGTGGCATTTCTTTATTTGACCAGCAGGCTTTTGGCAGGCGTATTTTCGTTTTTTCAGGCTGACATGTGCAAAACGTGGATCAACATGATTCTTCTAAAATGTATTGTAACTGTGTTTAGGCCTCCCAAGTATAAATAAATAAAAATTATATCATACATACACTATGAGATTTGACATTTTGACAGCAGGGATTCGAAGACATTAAAAAGATTTCCACTGAAAACTATATTTTTATGCTAAAGTGGTTTCATTGTTTAAGTAAAATGCAGATGCTCTCTTTTTTTCAGCTTTTTTTAAATGCTTTAATGTGCCGTTTTCATTTTGGTGTGGGACAGTGCAAGCACAACAAATGTATGGGCTCATGTTTTCCCCCCTTTAAACATTTCGCACACTAAGCAATTAGTTGAGGTGGCAAAAACTGCTGATAAGTTGATAATTAAAACAAGAATTAGTTGTTGGCGTAATGAAATTGTGAAACGATCAGTTTTTCAGTTGTTTCCTTACACTCCATGATTATCTAGTAAAACTGTCTCTGTAAAACATGTTTAATAAAAACCCAAGATTTCTTAATTTTTCACACCATTAAAAATGTGTGAGGTGGGAAAAAAAATGAAGCGATGACACTTTTTCTGCCTCCCTGGAGGCTTACAGAGTAGCAGATGTGCTTTGAAATAAGTAGATCTTCAGGGACTCAATTTGAAAGAGGTAGAACCTGCTAATTAAGTCATTTGTTAACTTTCACACTGGCCTGCGGCGCTGTGTCTTTGTTCTCTGGGCTTGTGGCAGAGTTTTGCATCTTTCGCTGAAAGTCTGCACTCAGATCTGGTCCCTGTGACGTAAACTGACTCTTTAGGGGGCTGTTTTGGAGGAAGTAAAAGGAAAAGATTGGAATGGGTTGGGCTTGTGAATGGATAGGGGTGAATCACTCTGCCAGAACTAGGTCATCTTAGAAGGTTGCTGGATTTTTCCCCCGGCTATAGGTCCATGTCACACACACACACACACACACACACACACACACACACACACACTGAGAAGAGGGGAGAACTGTGAACACTTGTAGGAAAAAGGGGAGGATTTGGGAGAATAGGAGGAGCTGTTGGCAGAAGATGCCATGGCCTCTGGGTGTGTTCTGTATAAGATATCAAATGTGAGGCTCGCAGTGAGACAGGGATGAGCATGAACATGCCTCTTGCATGTTGAAAAAGATGAATCTTATCATTCAAGGTTCAGGCTACAAGCACTCACATTGTGACCCTGTTAGAGAAACCTTTCCTCTGAGCTCTTGACAGGTTTTTGTCTCTCTCATGTCACATACCTAAGAAGAAATGGTGTGAAGTGGCTAAATGCTGTAGTAGTTGTAATCATACATAGTGTAAAGGCTCTTTAGCTTTCAGAATATGAATAAAGGATAATTCAGTTTTACATGTTTAGTTTTAAATCTGGAAGTGAAGGTACTTGAGTAGTACTATAGTGGTGGTAATGATTTGGTACATTTGCTTGATGCACTTGGGGAAGTCTGTCTTTCCTGCTCTAGAGTTTCTTTCTAATGAGAGAATAGGTCAGTCAGTGAAACTCCAGATCGAACACAATTGATTTTTTTTTTCATTTTCTTTCATGTCTCACTGTAAAGCTTAGGTTTGCTAAGTGAGTTCAGTCCTTTTTTAAATCGCATCAAGTTTGAGTCCTGTCACATTTCCAAGTTATTTGCATTTTATTTGTTTTTACCTAATCGGCTATTTTGTCATCATTATTCTTGTGAAATGTAGTTTTGTGAAAAACTGTTGGACAAAACAAGGTTAATGAAACTTTCTGCAGTGGTGGGCAGTGGATAAGGACAAAGGCTTAGTTATTTGGCCATTAATCCAACCAGCAGGGTCTTAAATAGCCAAAGCGCAGCTGCTAGGAAACTCCAGAGAGCAGCTGCCAGACGGGCCAGGAGCAATGTGGTTTTATTGTTCTAACCTGTCTCTGTCTGTTTTTGTCTTGCTCACAGGGGCGTATTGCCTGTCAGTGCTGGATTATGATAACACCAAAGGCGCTAATGTTAAACATTACAAAATCAGGAAACTGGATAGCGGAGGTTTCTACATCACTTCACGCACCCAGTTCACCAGCCTACAGCAGCTAGTCTTCCACTATCGCAGTAAGTACTCGGGTGCATGTAGTCACCAAAAGTTAGGAAATGTCAACTGCATTGATGGTAACTCTTAACCTTTCTTCATTCAGAGCACTCTGATGGACTGTGCCACGCTCTAACAGATGTTTGTCCAGTGACCAAACCTCAGACGCAGGGACTGGCTAGGGATGCCTGGGAGATCCCCAGAGAGTCTCTCCGCCTTGATGTCAAACTGGGACAGGGCTGCTTTGGAGAAGTCTGGATGGGTAAGAATCCCTAACATACCTTAGCAGATGGGTTAAACTTTTATGATGCAACATGAGCATCATTTACTCTTTCTTGTTAAAACTAGGAAACCTTTTATATTTGGAGAGTAGGTGGACTAAGAGGAGTAAGGACAGCAGTTTACTGTAGAAGCAATGTCTTTTTGTCTGGCTTCTGACAGGTACGTGGAACGGTACAACACGAGTAGCCATTAAGACTCTAAAGCCCGGCACCATGTCTCCAGAGGCCTTCCTTCAAGAAGCACAGGTCATGAAGAAGCTGCGGCACGAAAAGCTGGTCCAGCTGTACGCCGTTGTGTCTGAGGAGCCCATTTATATTGTAACAGAGTATATGAGCCAAGGTAGCGCATGACAGCAGACTGTGGCAAGAGATGGTTCTCAGACCTGCTTGATACTCGGACAAATTCATAATCCTCTTTACTAATTCTTGTTCAAAAAAGGGGGGAAGGGATGTTTACATTTGACATATTATCAGCTTAGGTTTTTGTAAATTAAATAATATTGGGTTTGTGTTCACAGGCAGCTTACTGGACTTTCTTAAAGGCGAAGCTGGAAAGCTGCTTCGTCTGCCTCAGCTGGTAGACATGGCTGCTCAGGTAAAACTACAAAAGATCAGTGTGCTTAAGTGCATCATCTAACCACCAAGAATTCAATACTAAAAGGTGTACTACATGGAAATTTAAATTTCTCGTCCTCTCTCCTTCCAGATTGCAGCAGGCATGGCCTACGTGGAGAGGATGAACTATGTCCACAGGGACCTGCGTGCTGCAAACATCCTGGTAGGAGACAGCCTCGTGTGCAAGGTGGCTGACTTTGGTCTGGCAAGACTCATTGAAGACAATGAGTACACTGCAAGACAGGGTAAGTCTCCTCTTCCTACTTAAAATATTTACACTCAAATCAGAGAGAGAGAAGTTTGGTTACAGAAGAAAAAGTGACTTATAAGAATAAGATGTCCTAAAGTGTTTATAACATGCCACACTGAGTTTCATAATGTTTTCTTAGGAGCCAAGTTCCCAATCAAATGGACAGCACCGGAGGCAGCTCTGTATGGTCGTTTCACCATTAAGTCAGATGTCTGGTCCTTTGGTGTGCTGCTCACAGAGCTGGCAACTAAAGGCAGAGTTCCCTATCCAGGTAAAAGCTCCACCTGACAGGATAAACCCACATAATAATTTCAGTTTCTTATTCAAATAAAAAAAATAAATCGCGTTGTATGATTTAAAATAATTCAATATTTGATAAACATCTTGTGCTGTGAGACAGAATTGACCAAAACTAGCTGATACCTTTCTACACATCCAATGGGCAAATCACATAAGTTGCACCATATAAGGTGTTTTAGCATACCCACAATTGCTGCACATCTGCAAATCTTCTCCTTTTCTTGCTACATCTGACTTGATCAGCTGTTGTCATTGATATCTGCTCTGCTCACTGATCAGGATGTTTCTGCTGCCATCCCAGCCTGAACCAGCTTCCCACCCCTGCAGGCTGGGAAGGTCCTAGATCAGAGCCATACCACAAAAGGATTTCTGTCCAAAAATCTAACTTACTGTTTTTCTTGACAGGTATGGTTAACCGAGAAGTGCTTGACCAAGTGGAGCGTGGCTACAGGATGCCTTGTCCAGCAGAGTGCCCAAGCTCCTTGCATGAGCTCATGCTTTCCTGCTGGAGGAAGGATCCAGAAGAGAGGCCTACATTTGAGTACCTGCAGGGCTTCCTAGAGGACTACTTCACCTCCACAGAACCCCAGTATCAGCCTGGGGAGAACCTATAGAACCGTATATCGAATTGAACCTGGTGAGGAGGGGAAAGGGCCTCAGCACAGAATGATCTGCACTAACCGACCTCAGAGGAGCTCCTGTTTAAGGATCTGAGCCTGTGAAACTCAGTTGTGAGGAACTTGAGATTCATCTGTGGAAGTAAAACCGAAATAGAAACCGGCAGAAGTCCCCTCATGTGCCATAACGGAACTTCTACAGAAGAACCTGAAGAACCTCCTTTCTGCAAGAACTCACTGTTTACTTAAGTTCTCTTGCAGTAAAGAGGTTGAGCTGTAGAAGGCAAACTCTTGCTGGACTGACTGTGGCTCTGATTGAATCGATTGACTAAACTTGCGGGTAAATGTTTTGGAGAGATGCGACCGATGTGGGAGGAATCAAATCAGGATCTACAGAAAGGGCAAGAGGAGAAAAGATAAAGCTCCTGTCGAAGAGAGTAAGAGGGAGGATATTTCAATCAGGCATGAGCTGTTTAGTGAAACCTCCCTCTTTCCCTCTTTTGTTGCGTCTCTACACCATCGTCTGGTACCTTTTCCGCCCACAGAAGAGCACTGCCCCTGTGGCTCAGGTGCCAAAGGAAAGTCTGTCTCTCTTGAAATCCTTTATCTCATTTCTTCCCCTCTTCCTCTATTTCTGTCTGACTTTCAGCATTTCTCTCCAGTTTTCTCAAGTGCTGCTTCTTCAAAGTGTCTCCAAATAACTCAGCTCTGGAACTCAACTTTGCATCTTTATTTTTATGTTTACTTGGACAGTACTCGTCCTGTGGTTTCAGGTTTTGTTTTTGTGGCAGACAAAAGTATCTGACAACACTTTATTTTGTGGATTTTTCTGTGACTTTCAATAGACAGGCTATTAAAATAGCCATAATGGTAGTGCCAGGGTAAATGTACTCAACAGGCAGGTTCTGTAACACTTAAATTAGGTAACTTAAATTAACAATTGAGGGCTCTCTCTTGTTTAATCATCACCCTGTCCTTTTCTAGCTGTATTTCTTGACATACATAATAAACAGCCTGCTGGAACCAACCTTGATTAAAAATGTCTTTGATGCAGATAGTGTCTGAGTGCTTGTTTTGATTGACTTGATTTAACTGGAAAGTTGCATTGAAATAAGCACTGTCGCAGTGGCACTAAAGGCCACCTTCAGTGAATATCTCTGAACCATAAGTGAGGGGAAAAGTTCCATCATTTATGTGAACTACTAAGAGGTTGATGATGCTACTACTGGTAAATATCAAAGTCAGGATGGGAAAAGCCTCTTTGGGCCTGTGCCAAACAAATCACATTTCTTTACTGCTATCCATGTATATACTGTTTTATTATCAATGGGGCTTCCTTGTTTTTTTTGGGGGGGGGGTTTGGGTTTTTTTTGTTGTTGTTTTTAAAAACATACTATGATTTTTCTGAAATTAAAACTCCCCAGTAAACTCCATGCTAGCAAGTAAAAACAAACTGCTCAACAAGACAGGTTTTCATTTACCTCACATGTGTCATCCCTATGAAATATGCAACCAGGCAGCCCTAATGAAACTGTAAAACTCTGATCAGGTAACCCCAATAAAACTGTGTTTATGACTTAAATACAAAAGTTGATTTATGAAGCCAGTTAGCATGTTGTTGTTTTTTTTGTGCCATTCTTCTCTTGAACATTGGCTGGGTTTGTATTTATGCTATACTTTACATCAACATGTGTCTGTTTACTTCATGTTCAGGTCAGGCCCGGAGATCATATACAGACTTCTGAAACTATTTTTCTTTCTTTTTTTTTTACATCTCAACCACTGCAGCCAGTTCTCACTGTCATATTGTACATACTGTAGCTGTACCATGTATGCCACTAAATGGCAGGGTTATGTTGGATGTCACACATTTTGCAGTGATTTGTTTCATAAAGTAGCCAATAGAACAGCAAGTGTAAAGTTGGAGGTTGTTGCCAACAAAAACAACAATGCCGCTTATCAAACTAGGAGGCATACAGCAATAAAATGAATATCATGAAAATATGATCCAGTGACGGTTAATGATTATGACTAATATTCTGAAACCACAAAAAAAGGGAAGTTGGGTTGTGATGCGATGGTTTGACATGATAAATGAGGTCAAAGATGTAAATAGTATCTTAAACAAATGACTGTGACTATCATGTAATTTGTTTTTGTATAGTTTCTTTCATTGCACCTCCATGCTGAGGTTTTTACAGTGACACGCCTGCTCCCAAAATATTAATAAGATGCTACTGTACATGGGGCTTAAGGAATGTTTCTTCTTTTTTATTTTTAGCCATGTTCTATTTGAAGCCTCTGTTTCTGCAAAAGACAATTCAGAATTGGGCTTGAGATATTTATGTATATCTTTCCATGAACATATTAATAGTATGTTCCTCTTTTAGAAAGGGTAAATCCCAATTTGTTTTGACACTCTGAACTGCCTGCAAGTCATTGGGACAATGTCAGTGGGCCCATGACAAGTATGAGTAATGCCAAGGTCTGATTGGATTTTCTGTGCTATATTTAATAAGTGTCTCAGTTTTTTTTTTGTTTTTTGTTTTTATAAATCTATGCAGTTTCAGTCTGAAATTCCTGCAACTTTATGGCCATTTTGTTCTAAAAACAAACTATGATCATAAACAGAAGGTGTGAGCATTTTGTAAGGACTTCTTTTGTCTTTCTTTCTTTTTTGTTCCAATGTAACAAGATTGAAATAGGTATTGTGCCACTTTATGTTGATCTTTAAATGTGCAATAAATTATATTTCAAATGTGTTTTGATAAGGGTGTGTGCTGGTGCGTGTGCTATCTTAGGATTACAAAATTGTGTGTGTCACACTACTTGTTATGACTCATTAACTTCTTCATAAAGTTGTCAGTATGCAGCACCATGAGCATGTGATGATCATTGGTTCAGTGTGCTGCAGTTTCTGGAATATTTAGGCCAGTGGGCTTACAGCTGTAGATTTTTCTATCTGATGTAAACCCTGTATGTTCAGATATATTCATTTGTATTTTATCTCTATACTATTTTCAACCTACATAAACTGTATATAAAAGAAAGATGTAGTATCCACTATAAAGAAACCTGATTTTGAATTCGGCTTTTTAAAGTCAAAGCGCTATCCTGGCACCGTTCACTTCGGGGGTTTTGGAGCCGGAAGTGAACCTATTTAGGGGAGAGGTTGGAGTGCTAAGGGATCAGCTAAAGTTAATATGCTGTATTCATTGGGTCTTTATCTTACAATATAAAGTTCCATAATGCGACTGCTCTTGTGATATTACACTATATAAATAAAACTGAGTTAAATAGACTGTATGGGTGCAACCCACTGACACAGATAACTGCTACTTAGTGCTAAGTAACAGACAAATGAAATGCTAGAATGTCATCGACCAAAAATAAAGCCCAGACTTCTTGGACCTTGAACCACACAGCAAGACATAATATGGCCAGATAATTACATAAAAAATGCACCAAAACCACAAAGAATTTTCTAGCCTGCTCAGCAAATACTGGTCATTAACACCAACAGCAACTACTTTACACAGGACTACCATCACTGTCCTTCATGCATCTCCAGCCTGGTACAAAAGCAACCACAAGCCCAACTTAAAAACATAAAACAGATCAAGAAGCACATGGTGGAATAACTGCCTTCTTCCACACTTTTGCCACCTTGTGACCAAAGTCTGTAAAATCAGGTGAACCACTGGCAGCACACTTAAAAAGTACATGACTATATTAAATATATGACCATTATCATATTCCAAAGAAATCAGTAAAGAACACATTTGCCTGCACCCCAGCATTCCTGGAGGGATACTTATTTAACCCATTACTTTTATCACCCTGCTGTGTGAGATCCAGCCAGGGTGAAGTTTTTCAGAAACTCAGACATTTTAAAATGTGTACTTCGGACAAGGAAAATGAAAATGACGTCTTGCTGCCTCAAAGGTGTACACCTCTATCACCCAACTGGACCAACTTATTGTTTTTAGGCTTCTGACATTTATGACAGACAGTATATTTTGACAGTGCTTGACATCTCTGTATTCTCGTGTCGACTTCAGCACAAAATTTAGCGTGAATGAATAAATGTGGGAAAATGCTTGTTTTTAAAAATAACTCTGTATTTTTGCCTTTTTCAGATACCCAGTGGCCACACCCCTAATGCACCTTCAGCAGAGTTGCCATGGAGAGGGAAACGATCCCCAGAGTCCAAGAGCATTTCTGTAACAGACTGTAAAGCTTACTAAAGTGCTCTAAAGATGGACATTTTAATATGGGAGTCTATGGAGGCTTAAACACTTTTGGAACCAGCCTCAAGTGGCCACTGGAGAAAATGCAGGTTTAGCCCTTTTTGTCGGTCTCATTTCAATCTCAAAGCTATAGCTAGCTTGTTTTTGCTAACTTGCAGTTTGACCAGTTTGTCAGTAGTACCAGATGTGAACCACTTCAGACACAGACGGTAAATAAATGCATATTTAGCTTGTGGTTTCAACTGCCATACTCTTAGCTACCTATAAAACCATTTATTCACTTTTTTGAAAAGTGAATGAATGGTTAACCATTATTGCTCAGGTTAGGATATCATTAATTTGAATCATGTAAACAGCAAATTTCATTCATATGTGTCGATATCAGGCAGAACACACACAGCTGTCCTCTCCAATAGCAATAAATGAGAGAGGAAGAGAGAGGAATGTCTATCCGAGTGTGGCTTCTTCCTTCAGCACAAAGTCTTTACTGCCAAAATAAGAATGTGGATTATTAGTTCATACAATCACTGCATTGTTTGTGGTAAACATAACTATCCCTGCTACACGCAGGGTATAAACCACGGGCAAAATATGTCTGAAATTCCAGAAACCAATTAAATTTGAGCCACTATACCTCTAAGTGTTAGTGCTATTTTACCAGCAGTTCTTAGGACAACCCTGCCTTCTGGGTAACAGCTGGCCCACATAACATTTGTCAGTGCTGTAACTGAGCCATGAATACTAAAAGTTATTACCCATATGTGTCTGCTATCGCTCTGGTTTCACTCAGCCTCGGTAATAACTGAGATATATCCATCCATCCACTTTCTTTAACTCCTTCTCTTTTTTAAGGTCACAGGGGGCTGAAGTCTGTAATGGAGATCCAGGATTCCTAAAAACAAAACAAAACTTTATTTTATTTTTCTTAGCACTACCTCTGAGCACTTTTTTGTTCACTCTGAGAACTATTTAGTGTGTCTTTCTTATATTTTTGTAAACATATTTTTCATATCTACTATTTATATTTTATTCTGGCAAAGTCTGTGTGGAGCACCCAAAATTTAGTTGCACTTGTACAATGACAATAATGGGTATTCTATTCTATTTGTGAAATGTGCTGAATTAGCAGAACGTTTTGAAAATGATAAAGAAATGGTGACCTAAGTTATTAGTGTTAATAAATAAAAAATATATGATACGAACACATGACATTTAAAAGGTTAATTCACCCAAAATCCCCAAACACCTCCGCCCACCGAGACAGAACTGAAACACTCTAAAAGCTAAATAAAGATTAAAAAAGTGCAGAAGGGGAAATGATGCCTATATAAATGCTGACTTAGCAGGGATTGTATTAAATGAAGTAAGCTGGGAATTATACATTTAAAAGCAATAAAAAAAATTGGCATATTTTTTATTCTTCACTAAGTTACATTTTCACTACGTATTCATGCAGAAAATGTACAGGAACTGAAAGGGTTAGAAGCCTGTGTTTCAGGGTACCTTATTCACAGATTTAAAGGTTGTCATTTCACGCTGATTTCCTGTTGTAAGGTATTCTTGTCCATTTCAATGCTTTCAAGACAAATTTCAGCCAAATTCATATTGAAATTCTAAAGTTTCTCTTTCTTTCATTTTGAATAAATTACAAAAAGAACTTCAGCACTACTAGAGATATGTCTTCATACCTCCTGTCTTACATAATCTGCACTTCATTTTATCATTTTAGATTCAATTCTCTTGTCTAACAAAGCTGAAGCAACTGATCAAGATCCAAAGAACAATGTGCTCTCAGCACAGCAGCGAGTGTCTTTAATACTTTTACCTCTGTGAAAGAACTGATCCGTCACTTTTTTTTATGATTCTGTTTTTTGGAATCATGTTTAACAGATACGTTGGAGAACAACAGGACTTCATTCATATATCCTTGAAAACATTTAGGGTTGCTTTTTTGCTGGCTGAGTCAGATGGCTCATCCTTCACCCGGAACAGCTGGGGTGTTTTTGCCACATGGGGGCAGTATTTGTCAGGGATTTCCAGAGCATTCAGTGGTCGAGGTGCAACAGGCCAACTTCAGCAGCAGATTGCAACCCACCTGCTGCGGCAGCCTCCACTAAATAACATTAACCTTTGGAGGACTTGATACATTTCAAGCAGTGGTACATTTTTCTAAAAATCTGGTCCTAGGGCGCCATACTGCAATTTAGAAGTTATTACATATGGGAAGAGTGTGTTGTTCTCTTTGTCTCTGTCTTTTGCTTTATGTCAGAACTCCCTGAAGCTAGCTGCAGCTGGTAACTGATTACAGATGACTTTTCTCTACATTAAGTCA